AATACAGTCGACCCCCTATAACACTGTTGATAATTCCGTTTTATATGAATTTCATGTTGTACGAGTCACTTAGATTTTACAAATTCGTGAGCCATTCACAGCCCGAAACACATATTTGTAAAATCTAAGTGACTCGTTATATGAAATTCATATAAAACGGAATTATCAACAGTGTTAAAAGGGGTCGACTGTAAATAGTTTAAAATTGTATGTATTTAAACGTATAAAAGTGTATAAAGTATATAAAAATGTATAGAATCGATTCAAAGACTTTAAATTATATAAAATTGCTCATAAATTTAGTAATTATAATAAAGAATTATATAAAATTTCATTAACAAATTCAATTCTTTTAGCATTCATTGAGTTTTGTAAGAGCAATAAACGAGCTTAAGAAGGATAATTAAAATTTAATTTTAAGCACATTTTATTAAAAAGTAATTTATATTTTTAATTCTTTAAAATTCTTTTAAATAAATATAATTTATTTATTTTATTTTATATAAAAATAATTTATTAATTAATGAATATTTAGTACTCAGTTCTGACAGACAGACGGCCGAGGCGGTTGAGATATTGCCTTACTTTTCCGGGAATCCGGGATCGATCTGGTCTCCCCATTATTTTTCACGGGCAATTGTCCAGAATTTGTCGTGCCCCATTGTAGGCCCGAGTACGAAAGAAAGGCCCTACGATCGCCCACGGAGCAAAATGAACCAGAAATGAACGGGAAAACAGTTACACCTCGATATAACGCCACTATCGTATAACTCCGATTAATGTTCGCGCACTTCATAACATAATAGTACAGTAAAACTTGCGTAAACCGGAATAGCGGGTTACCGAATTATTCCGTCTAGGCAGGTTTCCCTTTTATGCGGGTTTGACGGTATCTTTAGTTATATATGACGTTGGATTTTGCACCGTAAAGGAAATCGAATCGTATGACTCAAACCTCAAATTTGTGAGTAGATTTCGCGGTTTAATGCCACACTCGATTTAACGTGAATTTCCGAAAGAAACTAGTGACAGCACTATATCGAGGTTCGTATATATTAAAATTAAATTAACATTTTTTCATATAAAAATATATTTAAAATACAAACAATTTTGTTTAATTTAGATAATTTTTAAATATTTTTTCGTGTAAATATTTATAATAATAATAATAAAGATATTAATTTTATTCCGGAAAAATTTATAAGTGTACATAAATAAACTTTTTAATTAAAATAAAAGATAATTATAATTAAATTTAACTCGGTAAATTTATTTATTATATTATTTATCATTAAATAAAAAAATTGCCACATTCGTTTTCGTTATTTAAAGGTTGAAAATAACAAAGAAAATCAAAGAATAAAAAAAATAATAAAATAAAATAAAGAAATTTAATTTTTTCTTTATTCTTATCACGAAATTGGGAGTTTATTTAATTTACTTTTATATAAAAAAAGGAACAAAGAATTTTTATTTTATTTTATTTAAATCGATTTATCCGAGTCAATTATTTTGTATTTTTTAAAATTAATTTTATAATAAAATAAAAATAAATTCTGTAAATTGTAAAAAGATAAGAATTTCATTGTGTTTTTTAATTGTTAATTTTATAAAAGAAAAAAATAATTAATTTTACTTTTTAAATAAAACGCAAAAATAAGTAAAAGAATTTCTTTTTTAAAGTGAAATTATTATATTTTTTGGATCTTGAAATTAAATTATTTTCTAGTAAATTGATTTAAATGGCATTATAGAATTGAAATGAAATTATTATTATTTTTTTAATATTTATAAATTCATTTTTTATTTTTAGAGTAAAATTCTAAAATAGTAAAAATGTCATCGACACTAAAATATAAGAATTCCACACATTTAAACGCCATTTTTGTGTCTTTTAAGTAAATACAGTGGAATCTTAATGTAGTAGATACTCGATACAGTGAAGAATTTATTGGCCTTTGCTATACTTCACGTACGAAGGAAGTCTCGATACAGGGAATGATTTTCCCTATTATATATAAGAATTCACTATACAGGGGGTCCACTGTATATTAAAAAATAAGAGATAAAACAACAATTGTATATTTAATAAATATGTTAATAATAAATAAACTTAATATTATTATTTTAATATTTTTTTCGATATAATTTAAAGGGTAAAAAAGAGTTAATTGGTGGGCAATTGAACGAAATGGTTGCATTTTTTAGATAATATTTTATAAAATTTTAGTTTTTATTATTATTTTTTTAAGTTTGTTGTTAGTAAAAGGAACCGGCAACGTCTCACTGATGAAACTTAAACATTAGCAGTTGTAAGAGTAAACAGTTTTAGTTTATTTTAACCAAACATAGGAACTTATTTGCTGTCTCCATGTGAAATCATGCTTCATCTTTTCTTCCTATTTACACGCTAAGTTTTACTTAAAATTGATAAAAATACTAACATCTGAGTATAGAAATAATACATTATTAGTTTTATATTAAATATATATTATTTTACATGAATAAATTAATGATAACATTATCGGAATGACCGGCATCTTCATCAGCATCTCTCGCATCTTATTTACGGATTATCACTTCAGAAATTGAAGATAAATCAAATTTTCTGGAATTCATCTGTGTGAATTGGATAAAATTGAAGAAATTTAATGGTATTTTATTTATTGCTGATGATAAAAAAAATCCTTTTCAAGTGTGATAAAAGTGTTTTTGGATAGGAAACTTCCAAATCGATAACTTGTTTTCTGCTCTTTAAAGGTTTAAAGATAATCTTTAGTAAACTTTTACACGACTTTATCACTACATAATTTTTTACAATGGTATTTTTAGAATTTTCTACATGATTTTTGAACTTTTATTGAATATAATTATTGTTTGTAGCGGGATTTAATGGTAGAATCCAGCAATCCAGCAATGATTTCATTCAGCAATTGATGAATGGTAGCAGATGTCATTAGTTAGTTATCTAATAATGACAAAATTAATCCGAAAATGTCGTTGTACTCATTCGGA